ACAGCGTACATTCACTTGTCAACTACATGTACAAGTACCAATGCACTAAATTTTGGGAGACACCTTTAACATTTACAGCGGGTCCCTCTTTACAATTTAGGGATTTCCTTTGTACATGTACAGAGATACATGTACAAATGCTTTATCAACTCAAGACAAATTTGAACACCCAAAATGCTGGCTAAAATCCTGTTTTATACAAATACATGTGTTACACCTTTCACCCACCAAATACAGTGGCTTCCTGTAACAAGAAAAATCACAAACACCATGGAAGGAATCACACTGTTCCGTTATGTAGGCCATACAATGTTCTCCACAACCTAAACTTATAGCAAGGCGGCAGGTAATGTTAGCGCGGAGTACAAGCCCTTCCCGCATTAGTCTTGCCCAAGACTGGTTTTACTGTTTCGGCCGGTGTACTGTGCAGGTGATATGCGCTGGAAAGCACAGCCGAACAGCACTACCAATTGAAGGCCCTATATTCACAAGAGGCAACCTGCCAGAAAACCAATCTTGTCGAATCTGGCTTACCCGAAAATTCAGAGCATACCTCACACACTCAAATTACCATGAATAGTTGTCCATAGAAGTCAGGAACATTTTCAAAAACAAGTTCAGGACTTACACTGTATATGTACATACATGTAAGGAGCAATCAATGAATTTTGTTGGTAACAGGATTTGTTAATTCAAAAGTGTATGAGAGAAAATGGCAGGCCAACATGCAACTGACCAAATGTTCTAGTTTTGCTGATATATTTATCCATACACTTGTACGTGTATCTCTTCAAAACTTCTAAAAGGTAGGTGTACCGATCTTTGTACGCAAAAACGGGTAATTTCTTTGTGCCAGTTCACTGCAAATGCACTTGCACATTTGACAATACAGGAAGTTTTTCAAAGGACTCTTGAAGTACATGGAAGGGTTACACCATTTTGTAGGTGATGAATCAGTACCAAGTTACCAGGGTACAGTTGATAGCCTTTCAGAAGTAGTGACAGGACTATGGACATGAAGGAGGAATATTCAGTCAAACCAAGACATTAGTTTGGGTACGTTCATACTCCATTTTTGCCCTCAAAATTCTTTGACACAGACATATGTGAGCGGACATTCACAGACTGTTCTGTCCATTTGTAAGTCCAGAACTGAACACATCTATGAATTGAAAGATGAACATATTGCCTGTGTTTTGGGGGCTTTCTAGTGAGACATCAGTTGAAACAAAAAGAGGTCCGTGATAAGAAATCAAATTATTTTGATTTTTCTAAATTCAAATTAGAAGGTACATGTAGGTGGGGGCTACCAGCAGTGTACGCATGCAATTTGGCAATTTGTGAACAATAATTTCTCAAAACACATTGCACATGGAGTGTCAACAGCAACCTGTTGCTATGTTACTATGCGACTACTAACAAGTGTTCATCAGCTAAAATTTGACAAATATTTGGGGGGAAAAATCTAAGATTTTTACTCACCAATCTCTTCCTTCCATCCACAACAACTGTACCATTTGTATCTCCAAAATGAAGGCCGAAACGCAGAGCAAGCTTGGCCACTAGCCCAATGGATGTGCAATGTGTAACACAAACAGTGCAATCATTGTTGGGAAGAAACGAGAGGTCGGTGGATAAAAATCTCTGAGTTTTCTGAAAATACTTAGTGTCATGAGTGGTCTGAAATCTCTGTTACCCCATTTTCAAGAGCTATGGGAGGCCTACCTCAAGGTTGCTTTCACAAGGCAGTTTACATTACCAGATCATGTAACAAGAAAGTTTGATTTAAAAACACATACATGACATAGGCTTAGGCCTACTTAGTACTACTATTGTTGTCATATGCAAACAACAAGGACTCGAAGTCACACAGAGTAGTCACATGGCCTTCTTCAAGTTCAACTTAAATAGGCACAGTGGGGGAAAGTTGACAACTGGGGCCTTACACAGTTCACTGCTGTTATATCCACAGAATGCAATGCAAAGTGTCACGGCTGTCATGTCTGTATGTGGCTGAAAGTAGGGTTCCATGGATGTTGCGTTAATTGGCTGAATGCAAGAGGAAAACCTTAGGACTTTAAAGCGTACGGTATGCCGCGCTTTGGAACAGTGTCATAAATGTCAAAATGTTGGCTAGGCCTAACGTTAGTTAGATACATGCTATTCATCATGAGATCATGCAAAGATCATGAAAATGCATGGCGTTTACTCACCGTGCGAAGTAACACTTGAAGAATTAATAAAATTAGACGAGTGGCAAGTCTTTCAGTGATACTGGTGGCCTTCAACTACATCCCGCATAATACAATACATGCAGAACTGTCATTATCATTGAAGAAATCAGTCGCAAAAATCGTCAAAATTCATCGGTATTTGCCCAAATTTCTACCATAGTCTCGTCGCCGACTCCTGGCATCGACCATATTACTCTGTGATGTTACAAACTACGCTCATATACAAAGTAGTCCATCACACAAACAGTTTTCCCTTTACCCTGAGAGAAAAGCTAATATGTCGAATTAAAATGTGATCACGATATATCAAGATTTTTTTTATAGAATGTTATCTCATATCTGACCCTGAAAAAATAACTTGTTTGATAATGTGTATGAATACTACCGGAGTTATCCGTATATTTCCAACATGGCTGAATTTCAATGGTTACCCGCAGACGACATCCCTTCTTTTGCACATTTCAAAGGTACCAGTACACTTTTCAAGGTCAAAGGTTAGACACTTCCTGATTGACCTTAAAAACAAAACAAAGCTGACTCATCGGCCGGCCGACGAGGTTGTTTTCCATTCTCTTCGCAGCTCTTCTGACACGCATAACTAGGCCTGCCAATCACTTTGTGTTGCGCTTTTGTGTCGGATGTTGTGTTACCAGTCATTTTCATGATCGTCCTTTACTATTATTGCTCTTGTTCAAGATGATGATCGGGGCAGGTGTGGAGGTGGCGGGGGGGCGTGACCGTTGCGTCGAGGAAGACGAGGGAGCCCCCTTCTTGTTTTTTCCCTCCAAATATGACGGGCTTATATGAGTTATTTTGCAAAAGTGAAAACGCATATTTAGTCGGCAAAGAGTGGAATTTGTAGTTTTCACGGTCCACACCAGGACTAGCGCTATATGTTATCAAGAATTAGAAATTACACCACAATGGTCTATATTTCCCTTAATATCTAATTTACACCTAGGTTTGATTACATATTGGTCGGCCAACTCTACCCCAATTTTCAAATCACAAACCCGTTAAAAACATGTTAGACTGTTTATTTTTCCAAATAAATATTTGCTCAAATTTTAGCTGCTGAACGTCTCGCAACCACCCCTGGCCGAAAGCAGGGATGGCCCATTATTATGGGAAGAAAGGATTCAACTTTTATTTTAATTCAAATACCATAAAATGAGGAAACTGTGACAAAAGCTGACTTCATTTTGGTATAATGATTTTCAAATGTGGTCCCTGAAAAGTTTAGAAATAAAATAATAACGAATCTCGTGGGGCACTTGCTCAATTAACGCCCTCAAGACTGACCACACAAATTCAATAACTGTGGGGCAACCCAACGACGTATACAATAAACCCCCAAACTACAACTGCGAAGCACGCATGTCTCTTACCAAATCTTTCAAAGAAGGCCCTGGTAAATTTTAAGAAAAAAATTCTGCTCGCTAAGATGCTTGCACTAGTTATGCTTTGGAGTAGGGAAATGTTTTTAAAACATGTTCGTCATTAACTGCGCACGTGCCCCATTTTTCTTTATCTGATGAAAGTTCTGATCGCTGTGCTCGATATGCCTGTACAAGTTATTTGAAGACGATGAAAAAATGAAATCCCACCCATAGCATACACTTTCTACAAAACCAGAAAATGCAGGGCATTGATCACAAAATAAAATAATTAAAAATGAGCCGAGTTATTCTGGCCCCTCTCACAGTCGAGTGGGGGTGGATTCTGCTGCCCCCTAAGAACTCGGCTGTGCCAGGTTTGATTTTTTAAAACTTGGCATGTATGTAAAACTACATCGCTACTCCATATCATTATAAATGCGAAGTTTAAAGTCAATCGCACAAACGGTTTTGTTGTTATGGTCATTTGAAGTTCATTTCTAAGCGTGTGCCAGCCCCGCATGCATTGAGCACCACGATAAAAAAAAAAGTACACAGTTTTTGCTGACCTGTCTCGGAAAAAATTGGCGCTGCGCAAGAATGGTATGTTCTTCACAATATTTTGTGTCAAAATGACTGCACAGAGTTACTCTAAAACTCCACAGGGCTCAGCTCCTGAAAAAATGCACTGCATTGCACTGAGATATCGGGAAAAGTATCGGGGCGGATTCCACTCCCCCGGGTCTTCAGGCTTAAACTGGAAAGACAAGTGTGTTGAAGTATACAGTAAGTGAAACAAATGTCAGGTTGTAATGGAAAATTCTTCGTAAACTGCTCCGGCGAAATTAAAACACGGCTCCACGAATCTCCAGTCCAACAGCAATATACTTTTGTTCCATAGCTCGCGATCCTTCAGTTCTCACTGTGCCAGAATATTTCATTGAGACAGAGAATCTGAATAAAATGTCTTACGGCAGCAGTTAAAGTGGCCATTTGGACATAGACGAAAGAACTTGAGGTTTATCACAACCTATAAAATAGTTAACAACAAGTACTCTTTGTCAAATTTTGTCTTAACGTAATTAACGTAGTTAATTATTAAATGATCGCGCTTTGAAAGAACAGATTCCTCTCACTAAAACCGACTTTCTTATGAATTTATATTAAGTTCGCACTGCCAATGTCTGGAATTCTACTTCAGGTGATATTATTTTCAATTTTTTAAAGTGCTTTCCTGAGTACCTTCAAGTCCTGCTCAATGGATTATCTTAGACCAAGATTTCCTGGCTGATTTATTGTGAAATCTTAAAAAGCGATATGGGGAATAGAGTAAGCCTTTAATGGCATGGGCTGAATCACTTCACTTTTGCTATTTCTTACAGATCATACTCATAATGGATTTTTCTGGAGTGATCATAGGAAGAACATCTGGCAGCGGAGATCCGAAGCTTAATGTACCACAGGCTGAAGAAATACATCCTCTCACATTAAAGATTTGGAACCGTTTTCGATGTGACAATAAAGCAATATTAAATACAATTATTGGAACTTTTATAGGAAAGCTCAGGCACTCTGTCATTCAAATATCCATTTTGCTTGCCGAATCCACCCCTGAACTTGCCCTTCATAATGTAACGTATTAGTTTCTTTCAATAGCGCCCTCATTGAAACAAAACTTTTCATTATGTCAAGAGGGCGCTTGTCAATTTTATGGAGAGGGCAGCTTGTCGCACATTCGTCAATGGACCGAGGGCGCTGTGCTGGACTACGTGACTTTCACATTAATTTTTGCACTAATTACCTGTTTGTTAAGTTACTCAGCCCTCTTTACATTATGGCTCAACTTGAAGTTTACCGTCTTACTGCAGGAATTATTTATGACGTGGTGTGCGAGTGGGAGTGTGGTCATTAGTAAGTTGAGATTGTGTGTGAAGCTTCTGAAAGCGACCACAGTGACGTTGCTGGTAGTAAAGTACGGGAACAGGGGAGTGAGACAGATTGAGGAGTGATAAATTGTTGAATGGATTTGTTGAGGTTTGTTGAATCAGCTGATGGTTCAACAGAGGAGAAAGAAAACCGGGATGTCATAAAAGCAGGTGTATGAGAAAATTCTGGCATGTAAACAACCTCCCCCTGAAGCATTGAAAAACGGCAAAGAAAGATGTTTACAGACCGAACGTTTGAAAACTTTGATGGATTAGGTTTTGTGAAATACATGTAGCGGCCCAGGAATGCGACGAAACCATCTGACTGAGTTTTTGAACGAGTAAAGAATGAGAACCGCCCGATTTATGTGGTTTATGAGGACTTTAATACTGCTGGGTATGTGATTGGAGTGAGAATTTGGGTATCGAGGACAAAATATTGACTGAGCCACAGTGAAGAGTGTTGAATGGGAAAGAATAATGTGCGTGAAAGGCATGCAAGATATGGACAGACGATGAGATGCTTCTCGAGATGGACCGTAAATGCAAGTGTTGGCCCTATAATTGCCCATGCTGAGGTAAGAATCAGGCGCAGTTCAGGAGGGGCGCTAGGGGGGCTTTAGCCCCCCCCCGCCAGAAACGTTTTGTCTAACCACCCCCTCGAACAAAAAGCAAAAACGAAAAAGGAGAAGTGAAACTTAAAAGGTGACGTCACGTACAAAGGGTCTCAACCCCCTCCAAAAATGGCTCTAGACTCGGGTCTGGTAAGAATGATCGAGGATGTCGAAGCCAAAAGAGATGCAGTGTATTAGAGTTTGATGAGTTCTTGTGAGAATGGCGCGTCCCGTCACATACTCGGTGCTGTGAGGCGGAGGACACACATAAAAATCTTGTCATTAATTTTGTTTATGAGCTTTACAAATATCTCAACACGCAACAGCCAGATTCTGAATCATTGCTGGCATCCACACGAATTACGACTGAAACTAATGTCACGACGAAATCACCTTAACTGGGGCAATCGTCTACCCAACATACAAGACCAGTGAGCAATCTCCTATTTATAGTCCGCAGTAAATTGTATTGTGAACGCCATCGATACTGCAATGCAGCCATAGTCAAAGTCCGTTCAGCGATCCGTGAAAGGAATTCGCCTTTCATTATGTACGTGCAAATTGCGAAATAATATTATTATGACGCTTCTCATTGGCCTTTTCATAGCACACGTGATGTGTTATCCACCCTAACAGTCGCGTCGACGGCACACTACATGTCCCATTCCTAACACGAAAGGTTTAAATTAACGGTGCCATCGATATTTTGTCAGCTTTCCAACTGCGCTGACATGTGTAATGTAACACGAAAGAAACTGCCATCATCATGAATTAACCTACGGAAGGTACCCTCCGATTTCTACGACAGCCGTGGTACAGTTTCAGAGGTACGTTTCCAATCAAAAAGTAACGAACAGAAAAACAACTGGTTCATTTTCGAAGTATCCCATGGACTAAATGTTTGCAGGGCCTTCCTCTTACCCGGAAGTTTATTGCGAATTTACGTCAACTCTCCATGTACTCATCAGGAATTTAAAAAACTTCGTCTCCGATACTCAATCGAATTTTCTGTGTTTCAGATCAAATGAATGTACATAGCACAATCGTATTATTACGCCCTGTATGAAACACGTAAACAGTGCGCGAGGAAAATTAAAAGAGCCTCGGGTTTTCTCAAACATCACTCCGCATAATTGTGTCATTTGCACAAGGAGCAAATGCTTATAAGTTTCAAGTCATAACTATTGATCATTTTTACTAGATTTAGGTAACACTTATTTAAGAATTTAATCACCGAACTTTTTATTCATCTTTTATTTTTAATTAGAGTTTTTCGTTTTTTATAGTTTTTTGCTATGCCACGAAATAAATATAATGTGAACATGTTGACATGCTCACAATCGTGTTTGCTATTTGCAACGGGGGCACTGTTTTCAACGTCTTCTGGCATAAATCTCACTCCCATACACCGTAGACTAGGCGCAAACAGTGGCCTTATTCACAAGTCGGCCATATGGAATATTTTGGCACTTCAGAACAAAAATGAAAGCACTAAATTAAAAACTAATGTCATTTACGTCGATGAAGAATTTAAAATTTGTTATTAATTATATCTTAGTTGTTTATGCTACATTTCAAACATAGAAGTGAAGCATGGAACCAAAAATAGTCTAGCATCACCCCCATTGAACAGATTACGGAGGAATAGGATATATTGTTGGAACACAATCTAAGAAATTGCTTCTTCGTGAAGAAGTTTTATTTCCACCAAACAACGTGAGTATAGTTATTCACCTAAATGTCAACATTTGGGATGAAAAGTACCTATGGACACCGACCTATATAAGAAACTTGCTGTACAATTATGTCGTGATAACTCACGTGTTTTCAAAAACATTAAAATAGACCTTTTCCTTCTGAGAACAAGATTGGTCAGGAAAAGAAATGGCAGACGCACGTGAATTCGAAGAGGTCCGCGGGACACACGTCCCAAGGTAAGCATGTTTAATATTTAGATTAATGAATAGAGACGTCAACCAGAATGAGGAAGCCAAAATCCTTTTATTCCTCTTTCCATGTATACATTAGCCAGAGGGCCAGGGACAGCATAATTATCATCTTTAACAATGCCTCTTCATTTTACTTCATCCTCTTAAGTCCCAATAAAATACATGGCGTTGAGGCCCATCCACTTTTAATATTTTTAATTATTTTTAATATCACTCAACTAGCACTTCAGATGACCGGTCTATATTTCTCCTTAAATTAACCCAGCAGGATTGTTCATGCAAAGGTTGCTTTGGATCAGGTCACTTGAACAAACTGCTTCAGTTTATTTAGCTTTTTGCAAAAGTCAAGAAGGATTAGCATTGCCCAATGAGAGAAGTGAAATTTTCCAACCTTTGGTTTGGACGCGTACCACCAGGCAATACGTCAGAGGAAATAATTACTTGTGTATGGTCCCGGATTATCTATTCTCTTCCGCGTAAATTAATTTTGTTTCTTTTAATCCGCATGCAAACTTCTGTAAATTATTTCCTTTCATAGCAACAATACACTGAGGAGGAGTCAAAGCTCAGTTGAACAATACTCCAAGGCTGAAACCGAGAGAAAAAGAACATCTTTTTCTATTTCTGACAGCGCACTACAAGCAAACTATGGGAGTGTTGATCAAATTTTCTTCCCATTTTCATCACATCCTGGTAAAGTTTCAAACTATTTCTGGGCAGTGGACTTATAGGTCATTTCTCGTTTAAGGGGAATTCCATGGTGAAGATAATTAAAATACCACTTTCTACTAAGTTTTTTGGGGAAAAGATTATAACAGATACATGTAACGTTACACCTTGCGCTTCAGCTCAAGGTTTACCTTCGTAAACGAAAATCGAAAATGAGTGGAAGAACTTATTGATGGAGAGCATTGACCTTAAACTAAAGGACAATTACAGAAAAATGCAACTTTGCTTTATTTTTCTTGGAAAACAAAGACTCAAAAAATAATGAAGAAGTAACACCAATCAAGCTAAGACTAGCAAAATCAAAGCAAACCAGTCCATCGTTACATTTGAAGGAATTGTGAATGCTTAAATAGTTTTTTATTGAAAGTTACTCTCCTAAACAAATTATTTCACAATGCGTTAATTTTTACATCTATGCATTATACTTCCAAAGGAGAGGAAAATGGTCCAGTTATTGGGGAAAAGACTGTGTACGTTAGGCAACAGATCCCAGGTAAGTTGTGCTGTGGTAATTTGTTAGCTACATAAACAAATAACAAACACACGCAACTGATGAGAGTCATTAACATGTCAAACCGTGGCAACCTAATACACATGATACGAATTATCCGGAATGTAATTCGAAAGAGAGGACAACCTTATATCAGAATGAAACCTTTGACTTAGATTATGTAATTAAAAGCGAAATGCTAATAAGATTTGATGTTTTTGCCTGCACGTTAAGAAATGGAACATTTCTCTACAGAATCGTGCACAGCTTGCACTGCGCTGATTTTCATAAAGCACACATCATTAGGTACATGCAGTTCCCCGAGTCTTGGTTGATGAGCTCACAAGACGCTATTTTGACACTTTCTTGGTGGCAACCGTGACGTCTGGAGCTCAGGGGTTAAATAAAGCTTTTCACTGTAATCTTCAACTTTCCAGACGTAACTCTCTCCTTTCTCATTGAAAACGTTGCCTTTTCAGAAGTCACTCTCTCCGAAGTTGCTAGGGGTGTTGGCCCTCAATGGGAGGAGTTGGCAAAAGCACTTGAGTTCAACCAAGACGAAATCACGAAGATAAGAGAAGACTTTTCATCCAGTGAATCACCAGCCTTGGAATTACTCATGACATGGAAACAACGTTGTCCGAGAGATCAGTTGACGAGGTTGTTCGACGCATTACTGGTTATCGACAAGACAGACATTGCACGAAAAGCACTGAAACGAAATTCAGGTACAGTTGCTTACGCGTGCTAAAGGTATCGAGATACCATTCGTAATTGGAAGACGCGGCAGCTTACTTAACTGTAGTAATTTCATTATCTCGAGGACATTCTCAGAAAATAAAAAGCTTCTATACGGTGAAATTTTGCCACTTTTAGTCCCAGACGTATAGAAACACAGGACCGTTTGCTTTTTGTGGATTAGTTTTTGTAAAAAGTAGGCAACAATAAGTGGCGTATCGGGGGGGGTCTTGCCTCCCTGACAGATTTTTGTCATTTTTTAAGTATTCTTTTCGAAATGAGAATATTTCATAGGTAACTAGGAAAGAAACAAATATTTACATATTATATCTAATAATTTATGTACACATATTTATCAAATAAATAGGCTGTATTTTTTCTGCCAATTATCATGTTGAATGAGTGCATTTCAATTTGAATTTGCCCCCCCACCCACACCCACAGCTGGATACACCACTGGCAACAATACATTCTATACTTTGATACAGTGTACTACCAACAATGTTTTGGTTTCCTCATTTCACGACCACGCAGATCATAGCATATATCTTGCATCTAAAAGCACTCTTGTTGACATGTAGAGAGTAGGTTTCAAAATCGCTCAGTTGGTGCTGGACCTTCTGCTGGTTGAAAGATTCTGACTGAAAAACTTTTAACCTTCACCTTAATTAATGCACAGTAAAAATCAGTAACACTTTTGCTTTGATATCATGTAGACCTACGTCGGTCTTCCAAATTCTCGAAAAAAACGTCTAAAGACGTTTGTGGAGTAGATCTGAACTTCAATGGCAATGTTCCTGGTAAGTCCAAGATAGAATTGTTGCACAAGTTTTCCGCTGATCCGATGTGATGCGGCATACCCAGAATTCAGTGTGAAAACATTAGATATACATGGTGATAGGATGATATGAAGACTTTAACGAATTCACTTCACTCTAACTACATGTAGTAATCAACAGAATCATATCAAAATGCTCAAATTTGTGTTCGATTTCTTTTTGATACTATCTTATTTGAAATATTAATGTCACATTTGTTAAATTTGCATGCTGGTTGTGTACAAATTGAATGAAAATACCAAAGAATTACAGCCGTATGTTGACTTCTTTACATCCTAGAGAGAAGTATGTTAGAGAAAGTGGTGGACGAATTCAAAAAGCGGACCAGAAATATGAGCGACAAAGAGCGGCTTGAGGCGCGCTGCCAGCTATCGGATATCTCCATCGGCTACTTCGGCATCCAAGGTGGAAGCTTGTGCCTGGAAAGGTACGGTGTAAGACTCATCATCCCACCAGGCGCAGTGGTAACAGACCATCCAAAGATGGTTTACGTCTCTATTAGATCCACTCTAGCTGCAGTTGACAAGCTTCGGCCAGGAGAGATTCCTCTCTCGCCGGTAATACAGTGCGCTCCTGAAGGTTTGAAGTTTGCAGAGAGCGTTGTCCTATCCTTCCCTCATCACGCAGTAAGCAAACGACACTCAACCATGGGGATTCGAATGCGTAATGGGGATTCATCGAGTGGAAAGTGGGAAGACTTCGATGGAAACATTGCTATGACAAGTGACAAACATGTCGTCCTTCTTGTGAGCCACTTCACTGAGTTTACTGTAGTTGAAACTTTATCCCCGGGAAGCACTAAACGTCTGAAGGTGGGTGCCTTTGGAACGAAGGCATTGCCTGACGATGATCGGTATACACTCTTGGTCTACGCCTGGGATAACAATCCTATTGCTAACCAGGTAAGATGAGAAATATACTGTGGCCCACGCACACAACTGTCACGGCAAAAGCAAAAGGGTTACGGCTAAAGCAAAAGGGCCACGGAAAAGCAAACTTAAAAGGCCACGGCAAAAGCTAAAGGGTCATGGCACACGCGTACACGGACCGTCGTTTCCATACACTCGGAGCTGATGATTCTAGCTGTGCGGCATGCATATGAGCAGATGTGTCACGCAGCAAACCACTGAAGTGTGTATTTGCCTGCAACTGGGGACCCCTATTGTTCCTCGTTTGTTTGTACTTGAACTTTTTTAGAAGACCACCCATATGTTTTGTACACAGTTGTCGATCGAGGACCCTCTGTCAATCGGGGACCTTATTGTCCTCTATTGTTCAGGATCCCCAATTGAATGCAGAAACAAACTCATGAGATACTATTAAGTGTAAAGGTCAGCACTGTTTTACTGGTTGATTATTTTCAAGATGTATTACTGGTTGATTATTATTGCATGAACACCATGCATAGTAGTAAACCATGTTATGCAGCAACTGCGGACACGACAGAACTTGCGGGCAATTTCTACTCCAACTGTGCACATGATTAGCTATTCGCTGTCTTCGTTTTTTGTGCTTGATATCTAGGCTTTAAATGGTTTGTTTTATTCAAACTAGAACTCTTTCCTTCCAATATCATAGGAACTGGGAGAGGGTGCAAACGTCGCACACAGTGAGCTCAATACATGTACACAGACATCACCCTGTGCACAAATCCTTTTTACCCTGGCAAGTTATATGCAAGTATCGATGACTTGGGCTATATTTGGTAAAACAGTGGAGCAATATAATCTGTAAAAGTATGAATTAAATGTTTAGGTCGAGCGAACATACATGTACTGTATTGTGCACACGTGCATAACTGTACCGGTAACACAGCGCACACTCGCGCTTCATTACATAATAGGCCTACATGTACATGTACAGCACTGGACTGATTCCCAGTCATTTGTTCGGTATGCCGTGGCGCTTGCTTATCAGTTGCCGTGGTGCTTTGCTTTTGCCGTGGCACTTATGATTTTGCCGTGGCGCTTTTTCTTCTGTCGTGGCCCTTTTGCTTTTGCTGTGACAGTTGTGGGCCACCGTAGAAATGTGTTTGACATTTCTCCTTATCAAGTTGACGTTGTCCAAATAGTACAGTACACTCGTTGCACGTGTGACGTCCAAGGACGGCTATACGCCCTTTGGTGTAAAGGTATAGAGTTTCGGTAGATTGAAAATCGTCCACGCTTGACGGTTGCGCTTTTGGTTTCATGTGACGTTTTCCCATTGCGATTCTGAAAAAGAGATTGATTAACGACGGTTAAAGGTTTGCCACATCATTCCCAAGGAACAGACTGCAGACTCATTTTAAGACTTCGTCGATTCAGTTTAACAACTATTCTTTTTCTCTAACTGATCACCGGCATGTCCACTTTGCTAACTCGCATCTGAATCTTGAAGTATTACGGTAGGCCTACAGTACACCATAAAATTAATCTTCTGAGAGATCTGCAACTGAGCTATTGTTAAGATTAAAGTCTAAACACTTGTAATTATTCAAATGTAGGCCTATGTTAAATTTGGATCACAATTTTGTACTAGTGATGGGCTTAAGCATCGAGTGGCAACAAAACGTTGACTTTTTGTACACCAACAATCATATTCCTGAGCACGTATGTTACAGTAACTTTTCCCACACACTGCATGTAATTAGTGTCCAATTGATGCCATGTACTAAACCAGATACGTATCCTTACCATGCTATATCTAATGATCCCCAACCTCTTCCATGGGAAAGCCATCTTGGTTTTTCTATAATTCAAAGCAATATTACCGAACTGAGGCTGGAAGAAAAAAAATCTGTTCCCTATGTGAATTTGTATTACTATTGCCGATGGATGTATTGGTGACAACACAACACATGGCGACATCATGATAAATGTCTACACTGGACAGTGTACGGGATCTGAACGCACGTTGGGAAAAGCTGAATCGATAAATGACAGGGTTGTTTCTGCAAAATGTTTTGCTAGGGCAACGCGGTTAAACTCTGCCGGTCATTCATTTGGGTTCACGTAGACAGTCTTGGCCAACTGGAGAAACTTATGGAATTTCAGGCTATTCGTGGTGAAGGACAGCAACAGGTGGAAAAGCTTGCGGTAGCACCATGCGAAGGAATATGTCTCTGTTATGAGTATGTGTGGTTCAGAAAAGAACCGGGAGTATACTCAACGTTTCGGATTGCGTGGTCAGTCTAGTCCGTCGCCAGGAGACGGAAGAGGTGCTGAAGATGGGGCTGAATATATAAGTTGGCTGGATGCAGCGGGGTGTGACGAGGATGCTGATGGTAGGCGCTCATGTGGGACGATGTCCTGCAGGTCACTCAGGCGTGTCATCACCAACATAGAGAACTGGTACCCAAGACGCATCAGAGAAGCCTTGGAGATCCTCAAGCATGATACCGTTCCCCAAGACATTGGTTTTTCCATCAGTGACATCTGGAAACTCCTGCTCACCTCCCAGTCCAATGGGTCCTCTATACCCCCAGGACACCCCCACCCTGCCTATGGGTCTCCTATACCCTCGGCCCTCACCCCGCACCTACCTATGCCCAACTGACACGCCTCATTGACCTGCAGGACCCTGTCTCGCATGAGCGCCTACCACCAGCATCCTCGTCACACCCCGCTGCATCCAGCAACCTTCTATCTCTTCCGTCTCCTGACGACGGACTAGACTGAGCACGCAGTTCGAAACGTTGAGTCTACTACCGGTTCTTTTCTGAACCACACATACTAATAAGAGCGATACATGTGGATTCCTTCGCATGGTGCTACCGCAAGCCTTTCCACCTGTTGGAGAAACTTAATAAAGGAGAATCCTTTTACATGTACTTGTAAATAAAATTTAGTTTAATCAAAACTTTTTTGTACTCTTTTATCTCCGATTTCCTAATTCACATTTGCCACATGAAAGTTTCACTAGCCCAACTAGAGTAAGTTTTCTGAGACAATGCTGTTTGATAATGTGCTCCTGGATATGCAAAGAAAAATTCAAAGGCATTTTTAGTTTAATTTGACAATGATATCATGCTTTTCTCGTAGCAAATTTAGTTGGCAAGTAGCATTGTATTTTATTGGCTTCTGTTTAACTATACCTTTCATTTTAGGAAGTAATGACTGAACAGAAGGGGAGCTACCAGTTAGACGTCTTCAGACCATTCGAAATTACCTACTCTAAGGGTGATTTGAATATCAGAATGTCTAAGATCGCTAAATCCTGGAAAATGATTAACGAACAGGTAGGACGCGTGTTCAATGTTAAAAGTCTCAACAGTGAGTAAGAAATCGATATCTTGCCATCATTTGCAAAGTTGGATTCAAGTTAGGCTTTATACGTCGGAAAATGACAGTGTACTGTTGATAAATCATTCAACGTTCTTCGACAAATACAGTGAAACTGGTGCATTTGAATGTTTAAGGGGCATTTTAGCGACATTTAAAAAAAAGCGAAAGACTTAAAAACGACTTGTTTATAATATGCATGTTTTATATAATATGGGACAGGAGAGTTTAATGTTAGATTTCTTGTTTTTGCTGAAGGTTCAAAGTGTCAACAAGGAAACGATGTGGACGTTTCCATTTCATTCAAGGACCTTTCACCTTAAGAGACGGAGTGGATGTCTCCATGTTTCAAGCAGCAAGGATCTATTCTGTGACGTAGACATTTACCAAGGCAGAAAACAGGCTGGGTCTCTCAAAGTCCAGCTGTCACTCTTTCCTGCAGGAGTAAGCGACAATAACCTTTCAACAAGCAAACCAATCATTCTGAGAAACAATGTCCGATAGGAGTTGGGCCGGCAAATAATTCCCAGAAACGTGCGCCTCTAAAGAGTTTGCAACACGATGGCCAATCACAATGCACGAAATCTGTCGACCCAGTGCGCGTTTGGAAAGGGTCGACAGATTTTGTGCGTTTTGATTGGCCAGCGCTTAGCAAACTCTTGGAGGCGCACTCTTGTGGATCCCCCTGTATTGACAACCCAATGCTTTAGAATCTGTCTACAAAGTAAATTCTTTGGGTACAAAAGAAGATTCTTTTACTGTTAAGATAATGGAAGACACACCCCCCCCCAAAAAAAAAGAAAGCCCCACAAATTCTTGTACACCACGGCTGAAATATTTCTGTTGCGTGTTATAACTTTTTTCTCATCTTAGGTGCTGGAGCAGAAAAAAATTCAGGAGCTTGTTTGTCCGCATTGTCAATCGGTGGGTTGTAAAACTTCACATAATTTTGGAGCAAATAAACTATTACACTATCTTTTTTTTAAATTTAATTGCACAGAGTTCTGATGTTTTCTTATTACATTTACTACAACCTAAATCTATTAGCGTTGCTTTACCCTTTAGGGCTTGGGAAAGCATGGAAAGGTCTTTTTACGAGATTTTCTGCCCTCTGTGGCAGATACAAAAATAATGAAATTCACTATGGATGTGTAGTTCGTATTATTCGAATCAAAACTGTGGAGCAAATTATTGGCAAATTGTCTTCATGAAACCAAACGACGGTCGCAATGAGGCGAAAGTAGCCACTTCTTTATAAGTAAATTCTTCATTTAGTACTTTGACAGAGGGTCCTTTCCCATGCTACCAAAGAAAACCTGCAGCTTACAAGACAAAATCGATCTTTATACACTTCACGATATTTAATAACGAAGTAAGTAAAAGCAGAATTTTGTGCAGGGATAAAAATGTACCTCACATATTTTGTGTAATACTTTTTGACGTTTATTCCAGGTACGAGATTCAACTCCCTGCAGTAACTTCACGGTAAGGCTCGAAGACAATCCAATCGAATAGTTAACCTAAGTTTTAATTGAGATATTGAATTGCAATGTTAATTGAACTCACATTTGAAAAAACATATAAAACATTGTTAAAAACATAACACAAATTTTCAAAATTATACAAGTACCTTCTGTTAATTTTGTCTCCCTTCACAATGCCTCATTTTACCTAATTTCATCAGATGAAAAAATAAACAAAACTTGTAAATAAATACCACCCATCTTTCTCGTCTGCTTTGAAGGCCGAATTTGAGGCTGCCTTCTCAAGGAAAGTTCACGGTGAGGACGACATTGTGGGCTACATTGGTTGCTACGGTTTGCCAGAGACAAGGGTGATGACTCTTTGCGAGCATCTAGACGCTGAGAAAAAATGGCTTCAAGTTGCTGAGCATTTGACCCCGAAAGGCTATCAGTTTATTAAAAAGGCTGAAGACATGACACATCCAACCAAGGAAATGTTGAAAGCATTTTTCGAAGCGAAGAAATTACTCGGTAGAGGACGTGAAGATGCAATCGACGACCTAAGAAAGATTTTTGAGGAAATTGGCTTCGATAGGGCAGTGGAGATTATTACTGAGAAGTCCGAGCAAACCAGTTCGGTATTTTAAAAAAGTCAGGTCTGTTCGCGACAAAAGCACAACTGTGATTAGGCGTATAGCCGCAGCAATAGGGTTGAGCTTGCGTGCGCTTACAACTGTTCCCAAATTAACTCGGACACGCTTCATTTTGGGCATGCGCTGTATGTTGAATACCGAATCGAATGGCTCATGGGAAAGATTTGGTCCATTCGCTCCTGTTTTGCAGCCAGTGAATGTTAACAACTCAAATACATTTTGAATGACAGCTATGTTCATCAACAACGTGCTTTCAAATATTTTCTAGTGAGAGTGTAAGGTAAAAACACACTTACACCAATAGACAAAGCACAAACCGAATCCAGTCAGTGTCTTAAACTAGTAATTTTTAAGGAGTATATTGTGTTTTGTTTTAAGAAGTTTTTAAAATGTTGATGTGTAATTTTTCGAAAATGCTCTTCACAACAGTTATCCAAACTTTAACATGAAAGCTACCACGATGCGAGGTCACTGCTGCCGGCTTGTTTCATTCGTCATTACGTTATTTTGAGGATAACTTTCTTTACTCTGATCCACAATTATTTCCTGACAGAGATATTACATTTAATGCTTATAATAATTTAGGCCTACAAACACCGTTTGATATCCATTGCAAGGTTAGGTCAAAGAAGTCTTTGGTTTCTGGTCAGCGCGCATGTCGCCGTAGACCAGCGCATCGGCAAAATAAAAACATACTGTTATTTGGTATGTCAAACTTGCTTAATCGACAGAAATCCTGCTACTGCGCAAATTGAACGTGTTTTTGATGGGTTACCGTTGAGTAATAGGCTGTGTCCGAATCACTTGGCTGCGGCTTGAAATTACACGCGAGTCTATGATAGTGGCCGCGGCCAGTTCCCATAGAGTGTGTAATTTCCGGTTGTAGCCAAGTGATTCAGACACGGCCATTATGTACAGTAAAGGAGTCCCTTTAGTTCCCAATACATTTAGTCGAGTACTCTTTTTTCAGATGACGTCATTTCTTTATTGTACATTTACATCTGGGAACCAAACGATTAGGTCTTATGTCCTGTGTATATGTACAAACTGAAAATGCTTTGAAACAGTATAACGTGCAGGGGCCAGTCTATTTTAGTGTTGGTAGCAGCCGGCGTTACGTGCACATGCAGTCGCGATGGAGATCGGGCGTTATACGTTTTGGAGCCAGCTTCTGACCAGACACCGGAGACTTTTTTTGCTTCTTAATCCCAGAGTTTGGAAAATTACAAATCTTGTAATCCAAGTCACAGAAAATAAAGCCTGGTTTCCATGGTCATTTGTAACGCAGACGGTCCGGCAAGACGTCAACTTAGACGCAGACAGTCGCGGAGGATACGCTGTGCGATGTCATTACACCAAAAAAATCAACAAAATGGTGTCCCAAACTCGGAAAATCTTCGCAAAAATGCCTCTTTAGGTGACAATGTTACCTCTTGAATCCAAAATGATACTTCAGTTTGACGCAATTTGTTAATGGTCAGCTATTTTGTTGGCGATTGGCACTGTATATGCTACTAATAAAATGGACAAAATGAGTGGTAGTAAGCGAGATCGTACCAGCGCACGTGTTTGCCTCCGCTTCGCGTCGGGAAGTAGTGCTGACCTACACCGAGGGACCAGTAATTCCCACTATTTTCCCGAAATAAACCATGCTGTATTTGTTTTACTACATTTAACAAATATTCAAACAGAAATCTCACGTTACTCGTACTCACAGACGCCACTGTTGTTACTCAGCTGCTAAATTTCCATTTAATGACAGTGGATACTTAGCAGATGTGCATAGAAACAGGGCTTCATAGTCTGGTGCTGTGATACGTTTTGGGTCTTTACTGTAATAGCTATTAGGATACAACTTCAGACTGGTTCCGTAAAAATTACATGATACAGACTACATATTTACGCGGCGGGTTCCACAGGGATTTTTTTAATGCTACCAGGAAAACTACCGCACGGCAGCGAGGTGGTACTCACCGCTATGACGTCACCTGGTCGCGTATCGTACTTCCCAGACGCGAGGTGGAATCGGCCAATGACGCGCTCTGATGTGCTCATGAATATTTATGAGGTGTAGTAAAGGCCAACCTCGACTCCACGGGCTGTGTGCGCGTTCCCTACTAGACCCTGGTCGTTTAGAATACGCTGACCAGCTATTCAGGATGAATTATACATAAACGCAAGGTGAATACAGGCTTTTCGCAATGGCCCGCCTCCAAGAGTTTGCAACGCGTTGGCAAATCACAAACGCGAAATCTGTCGACCTAATGCGCGTTTGGAGAGGGTCGAAAGATTTCGCGCGCTGTGAATGGAGGACGCGTTGCAAACTCGGGGGCGCGCTTTTGTGAATCGCCTGTATTGCACGCGTATATCAAAAGTTGCACGCTCACGCCCATGTATTCTCTTGCACGTCACGCACGCGTAAATCTACGTCTCGGTAAACACACTGACTAAAGTCCTAATTTAAATATCCCAACTGTGGGATATTTAAATTACACTAACCAGGGGTTAGATCGTGCAAAGCATGGTAGGAACCAACATAGCGCGGCAAGATCGCTCCCATGGAAATGAGGTTGTGTAGCGGCCCACTGTACTCAGCGACTTGACGCAGACAGCCGGCGTAGTTGAACCGGGCTCAACTTAGCCGATCCGTCTGGGTCCGGTTTGCGTTTGTGGCGACACTTCCGTGTGACATGTTTCCATTTGTCTGCGTTGCCGTTTGCGTCTTGATTGCGTTGCTTTCTGCGTTTCTCACGTCGATATGGAAACCAGACTTAAGAGGCAATGGGAATATTTTGATTACTGTCATTCCCTTCTCCCTATTACTTTCTTAATGTTATCAAGTATAAAGCAATATATAAAACATCGCGACCTTAAAAGAGTAAGATAGAAAATCATGCTTACTACTAATTGCAAGATTTCCTATTATTAATTGCGTATAACCTAATCATTATTCGGAGATCGTGTTGTGTACAGAACAAATCGAACTTTGTTGTTTATCTTATATTCCTTGTATTCTTTTGGTCGATTTTCCACACCTGGACTTATCTAACTGGCGCACTTATGACAGCCATTTCCCCAGGATTATTTCATCTTCAATAACGTGATCTTTTCTGATAATTGGATTAATACATATCCATGTAGAACTGTTCCCCTGAATCACCACGGTAGGTCTGTGTTTGACATCCGCGTTACACATATCGCATAATCGGTAATGTCTTATACTGTTTTCGACAACGTTGTAGTTCTTGGTGCGTCAACATTTTTGCAAACTTCGTGGTAAACTCTTTTTCTATTTGTTGGGGGAATGGTTGCCTTGTTTGCATACTTCGAATTCTGTGTTAAACGCTTGGTTGAAATTTGGAATCCATTTTAGCAATCATTGATTTGTACCTGTCAATTACGTTTCTTCGATTGAGCAGCCATTTGATAGATTTTCCAACTTTCGATAAGCTATATTACTAGGAGAAATTTGGAAGTTAGTCTATACAAAAACGCATCATTTCGGGGCTCTGAAAAATACTGTCCACAATATTCCTACTGAGCAGCTGGATATCAAGGCCCTTTTCAATAACACCCACCCTCTAGACAATTGTTGCCCAATACGCCCTGCGCGTTGCAACCCTCCAAGGGTTTTTTTTTTACGCTGTATGAAGGAGAAGCAAGAAGCGACAAATGTTCGACTTTCGGCGAAACTGCTTTTCGGTTCTGAAAAAGTTCTCATCGTAATCCTAGTCGAAACAGGACATACATTGGTTTTCACATCCATCCTTTTTCATGTAGCCCTGCTATCCAGCATAGCGTTCGCTATTTTGCGCGCACATGTTGGAGTTTGTATCGGCAACTGATGGTACTTTGACCTGGGTAATTTAAATACACATCCACAAAAGGGTATAGCTCACCGAAGCTAGATGCAAAACAGGTTGGGTATTGTTTAATTTTTGAGTCCAGTTGGCAATGTGTGTGTGTGTCCGATAGGATTTTCGTCTAGTTACAACTCAAAGAGTAAGGATGGTGGATGTTATCATGGGAATAGTTGCAGGTACATCCAACAGCCGTCGGCTACTTTGACAAAGCGGAAGTTATGTGGGAAAGGATCAAACCCATCCAATGTTATAAAAATTCAGGTTCATACAGCGTGCAGATAATCTTTCAATGTCCACATCATTGAAAGTGATTCTATTGTGATCCTAGTGAGCTTGTATACATGAATTAAAGGCGGGGTACTCTGTTTTGAAGGTCAAATGATTCAGAGATTCTGTTGAAAGGAAAATTATTTCCTTGAATGTGAAGAGTTGTCATCTTTAAAGTGAAAAATGCTGCTGTAAAGAGAATTTCTAGGAGTAACTGATGTCAAAATTAATAAACGACAACAGCTTTGACATAAGGGATGTGTTCAAGTCCAACTTTATAGAACATTTTATGAACCGAAACTTCATAATCTCAATGTGTTTATGACTAACTGAAGAGACTTGCTTGTTTTGTTGTATCCCAAGATTGGCTTAATATTTAATATGGGAAATAAAAGCAAATACTTAAAGATTTTCATTCATTTTTTCTTCACACTGATGCATGATTCCGAGATGCAATTTAAGTCCGGCAGAGGAATGCATATGTTTACAGTGTTTTGAGATTTCATATCTCAAAGTCCTCAGGTAAAAAAAAGCTACATCAAGGGGTTAAACACACAAATTAACCTCACAAGAGACATGCCTAATTAAAATTTTGACAGCAAGAATTTGGAAAAAGTTCTAGCTAAATATGCAGCCCCAAAACAACACTTCTTACCCTAATGCAGTATTGTTTGGAGTCTTGTCTCGGCCCAAGACTGGATCATAATTTTCTCAAGCCTACATACACCTGCTGAGGGAACTGAGATAGAGCCACACTAGAGGGCGCTATCGAGACAATGGAACAACGATCGACTTGCCAAACCTGGAAGACCTACCTAAAGAGACCTGAGAGTATTTCACCTTTAAGAAATAGGAGAAATGAGAGAGTCCATCATTATAAGGGACGTGCATAAGCCACACAGCTGCTTCTGTCTATTAAACTACATGTACTAGCGAGCTAGCCCGTCATTCAGTTTTTGAAGCCATTTTTGGAAACATTTTTAATTCATTTGAGTGTTTGTAAAACATAATGAAATCGATGCAACAATTTTTGAATGAAACTGTTATAAATGCAATGGGAAAAAGCACAATGAACACAAATGACTTATATCGGATTTAGTTTAAATCTCTGAGCGTGAGGCATCGCAAAGCCTTAGCTTAATTCATCCGCAGTGTTCAACTGGCACTGTTTATATCAAGCAAAATAAAATGCTCTTGTATGGATTTATGCATTCAGGTTTTTGGTACATTGGCTTGGTTGACTGAAACTTTAGAATACAGATACACGCATATGCCAACAGCCATACAATATTCTGAGTTTTCCAAGGTTTGCGCACAAGCATGGATGTACCCAGCAGGCTTCACTTTAGATGTTAGCCCTATGGTCAAGTCACTGTAAGAATAATTTAACATTACACGATGAGACTATTTTGCATGTTTAGGTATGTTCTGCATTTTTCAGAAAGGTATAGCAAAATCACAGACATCATCCACTCAGGGTGTACAAGCCAAAGAAGCCGCTTTTGCCGGCTCTTCAAATTTTAATGCGCTTACACAGATGCACAAAACAGACCAAAAAATAGTCGGAAGTGCATGTACATCCGAGTTGTCATGTGTTTTGATGATGACCAATCCAGTCTAGGAGACGTCTCTGGGATACACCAAGAATGGATCTGATTTGTCTCCATGAGAGCGCCCTCTATCATTCATTTCCTTATGCCACATTTGCCAGGGCCATGTTTCAATGCTAGGGACCAGTTGAAGATTAGGCAAACATGATTCAATCAAGTCTTGGGCCAAGATTATGAATCTTCCAATCCATCAAAATAAAAAGTCTACTTAAGATGTACCTTCCCAAGTCCTGCAAAATCTTCCAAAAGGTTTGTGGATATTTGAAGGACACGTAAAAATTAATAACAAATCAAAATTCCCCTCACATCGGTACGATAAGACAATCAATGAGAATTGCATTGAAGATAACACCATGTTCAAGTCAACTGACTATGGCTAGAAGTGCCATGCAAGTCTATGGGAGGCAACTAGCCATTGGCTTCCACACACATGCATGTTAATTCCAGCCATAGCCATAACTTCTAGACACATCTTGGTATACCAGCATAAAGTAATACAAGAGGCCATAGGAGACCGGCCACGGCAAAATGAGCGTTAAGTCGCATTCTGATCTTGCCTGTTTGGAGGGTTCACAGCCAAATATTGAAGTGGAGGTCAAGGTTGGCATCTTGTTATATTTTGACATAGTAACCCCTCCGTTTAATTCCAATTTTGTTAGCAGGATCAGATATTTAAAAATGTCATTTTCTCAGCAATTTCGATGATAGCATTATCTGTGCCCGGTCAGAAATGTTGAAACAATGTTAGAAATAAAGATGCAGAACTGCCAGAATAATGCCACATTGTCACCTCATACTTTTACCCTACGTGTTGCGTGTACGTACCATTGCAAAGTTCTCTTCCTACTGATTTAAAAATAACAATATCTCAATTGTTCAAAATTCTGACTTTCAGCTCATTTTGTGGTGACAGGTCACATATTGATGAACCTGAGCAAAGTTACAGAAAACATGTCAAAAATAGCAGAACCGCATAAAATTTCAACAGATTCCATATGTGCAAACGGTTATGCACTCAAGGACATCAACATTTTGAACAGAATACAAGAAGACAGCATGGGTAAAGGTTTGCTAAGCAGAAAATGGACTTCCGAGAAGAGCCATGGAAATGGCGTCTAGGTTTCTTCACACTAACAGCATGAGCTGTTTCTACCCACTGATTTTCACCAGATGACAAATAAAATGTTACGATTCAATATTCGTAAGCTAAATGCAAGCAGTGCTGTGATACATACGGAAATTCCATTGTTTCTACTGATGTTAATTTTGTTGACTTGATGAATGTTTCCAATTGATGCTTTACGCCTGGATCTAGAGTATTGGAGAGGGCGGTGTTATGTTGTACTTGGTTGTCACGTTTTGCTGAGCTTCAGCAGCAACGCTGAGCGAGAACAGGTGGGACATTTCCATCTCGGTGCGTGCTAGGTCAATGGCCTTCTCAAAGTAGTCCTTGGCAGCTGCCATGTTGCCCCTGAAAAAAAAATAATAATAAACTTTGATATTTTACACTGATAAAACAATCAAGCGTCATTAAAGATGTCTGCGTAATACCACGCACAGTGCATTACCAATGGGCACAATGTTCATAGTGCATTGTTTCAATCTGCACACGATGTATTCCCTGGTTGTGTCCCTGGGCAAGCCGCTTTACCCAAACTTGCCTTTGTCCAGTCTTCAAGAAGTATAAATGAATCCTGACATTAGCTGATGAGCAACCTGAATTTCCGACGTCCCATCCAGGGGATAGAAATATCCTAAATCAGATCAGTATTCAAAAAATGCAAGGCCATTCAAGAGCCAAGCACGTGCAACTTGGCAAATGGTAACAAAGGCAAGATCACAAGTATTACTACCCGAATGACCTTAAATATGCTTCAGCACTGTTCAAATACCAAACCGGTTCATTCTTTTGTGCCAAGGAAACTGGCTAGATGGACCACGTGCTATGTTGGCTAAGGATAGACCATGTTTACATTCCAACTACGATAGTTCTTACAATTTCATGTAAAATCAATCTTAACGTTCCCATGATGCATGATACACGTAACTTCAACAGCCTTATCACAACCAGAGAGACAATCAGTGTTCATTTTAAGAACATGTAAAAATACCTATGGGAGGAGTCCTTCACATGTACTAGGTCACAAGTCACCTTCTATCAGGTTTAAGAAATATATACTCAGAACTGCTTCCTAAGTAACCACAAGTGTTCACATGTGCAACCACAGGCTCAATGTAAGCTACAAGCTAGACATGTGACCTGCAACAAAGACATTCCTGCTCTACTGTTCACTCACTCTTAGCAGTACATTTACTGGTGGTGATAGTTGTGATGACGAGTGAAATATACTCGGGAAATACTTGTGAAATACTAATTAAGTACTTCTGAAATACCAGTGAAGCACTTGTGAAATACTGGCAAAGTGCTTCTGAAATACCAGTGAAGTACTTGTGAAGTACTTCTGAAATACCAGTGAAGTACTGGTGAAGTACTTCTGAAATACCAGTGAAGTACTGGTGAAGTACTTCTGAAATACCAGTGAAGTACTGGTGAAGTACTTCTGAAATACCAGTGAAGTACTGGTGAAGTACTTGTGAAATACCAGTGAAGTACTTGTGAAATACTAATGAAGTACTTCTGAAATACCAGTGAAGTACTTGTGAAATACCGGCAAAGTACTTGTGAAATACAAGTGATGTACTTGTGAAATACTGGCGAAGTACTTCTGAAATACCACTGAAGTACTTGTGAAATACTTGTCTATTTCTCCCACCATTCCTGAGCTAACACACAACACCAACCTTTGTACTTCAATAGTTCCAAGCGTCTCATAAGCAAAGTCACACTTGCTGTCAATTTCCATTGCCTTCTTGATCATAGCGATGGCTCCCTCGGCATCTTTCTTCCAACTAAGATGGAGAAGTCTGAATGTGAAGGAAACTAAAATATCAAAAACTGAATTTTATTAAGACCTACTCTAATGACAATCGTGAGTAATCAATCCTATGTTATTTTGTTACATTTTTTCTATGCAATTAATCAAAACCCATTTTGTAAAAATGCAGTCTTCTGTTCAACACGTGTAAAAGAACTAAAAACCATCTTCAACCAAGACTTCTACGAAAACAAAACCAGCAGACAAACAGAGAAGGAAAAGTGTAAAATCACAATGAAAATTCAACAGATACCTCTGTTATCAGTGAGCATAATTGATGGGTTAATTTCATACCTACCGAACTGGTATGGACTTTCTTTGCAAACACTATTACTGTACAGACTGTCAAATTAACTGGATGTGGCTTGGAGTACTACACATATTTATGGGAAATGGCTACAGCCATTAGCCAAAGGCTTCCCATTGGGGCATGTGTTATTTCTAGCCATAACCACATAATAAACATTCAGGTTGATAGTCATTGCCGGTCTAGTCCCTGACTCACCCTCTATGTACATAAGCTGTAGGGTTGTCTGGTTCCAGGGCAATCGCTTTCTGAAAGTTCTCATCTGCTGTAGCAAACTGCCCCTGGTCACTCTGAGCCTGAACAAGGAACAACACAAGAGGGCAGCATTCATAACATGCATCAAGAGTTACACAGATTTTTGAACTTGAGTTGTTGAAGTTCAACCCAATCCCACAAAGTGTTTTGTTGTTTTGATCTTTTGGAGTTCACACAGTCACATTTTCCATGCATCTTCAACATGCACACTTTCTGCTTGTAACAAGGACATCTTTAATTCCCAATGTTCTTTGTTGTGATCATGTCTGATAACAAAAGGTTCCTATTATAACAATCAATCATTTTGACCTCAGTCGACTGTCATCATGATTACAAACATTAGTGATGTAGGATTTCCGACTATCTTGGTTCTGCAAGGTAACTATAACAAGGTCGTCTGCAAAGTCTGAAGAACCTCTAAATGGGTTCAGTTCCCATAAAATTGGTATCAAAATAACTGCAAAACATCAGCAAAAAGCTCTTGAAGGCTCGGTATGGTGAAGGAGAGTGCAGAGCTGTGATGGTATCGAGGAAAACGCACCACCTAACCCCTCTCCGGGTTCATCCAGAGTTGACATTTACCCCAGATCTCTTCCCACCAACCTGAGCATACAGTGCAAATGCCTCGGCACATGCTGGGAATTTCTTGGTGCTATTCTCCAATTGTTGCATTGCTGTCTGTAGCTGCATAGGGCTCTGGTGAACTAAAGCCAGTCGATACTTGGCATAGCTGTACTGAGCATGTGCAAGGGCAAAGCTGCCATTTAACTTGTTACATTTCTCAAAGTCTTGGGCTGCGTCATCGATACGGTCCAAGAGAAGATTCAACTATCAGAGAGGAAACGAAATAACATTTGAAAAGGAAATGAATCAAGAGGTTAACTTTTAGCATTGCAATCTTTACATGGCATTGGCTACTGCCTCAAAGCCACATCAGAAATGGGCTTTCAGAGCTATGGCTATGTCTGTCACTATCACGTTTCCACCTGTTGGCAATGAGTGAAGACATTGCCCTAGCTCTAGACACAAGGTCAGATGCAACCTTCTGGTTATGCTGGTCAACATAAATCACTCCAATAAGCGCTCATAACTGGTCACACCTCCTCTTTCAAATATTTAATCATAATGGAATGGATAGGAAACGGCCAAAGGAAAGTTCAAACACCCTTGATTGATTGATTTTCCCTGGTAACCTCCGCAAAATATATATCCTGGGCACCAGGCAAAGTCAACAGCAAGTGATAAATGGTGAGTGCTTAGACTCAGCCCTGCTTCAAGATCAAGAAACAATTGTTTTCACAACTGTGAGGGAAATGAAGCAAACATGGAATAACTTAATGGCCCAAATGTTTATCTTTAGTGAGGTTTGAATGTGCAAGAACACAAGGTCATTGCTTAAGACATTATTACAGGTAGCCTGATCACACAGCATACTTGCCCACAGAAACACAAGGGTACAATTGTTGTGTCTAGGTTCCTCATGTGTCTTTGCATTTGCTTTGTGCTTGTTGATAGGAGACAAAGCACCCTCCTTAAACCGCTTGCTGCCGGGTGGATTTTTCTTGAGCCAGACAAGGTGCCGGGTCCTTTTCAAGATTTTCCATTTTCAAAATTTTTCAAAAATTCATGGTTTGATTTAATGGCCGTTTATACCCACATGAAGGACTCTTTGAGCACTACTCTAAAGCTGACAGGTGACCTTCATTGACTCCTGCATATTTCAGCCAGGCCTGCAGCCTTGGAAAAAGAACCCAGATTGTGCGGTGTTACGTAAGATTCTTTTGTTTCCAAAACCGGCGCAATGCACTGCTGACCTCTTTTCAATAGGGGCCAGATTAGTGCGCAGCGGTGCTGTGTGGCTCATCGCTGTGGTGGTAGAGAGCTTTTGTCCCAGGTGGTAATCCACTCACTCTAAATGCCTCAAACCGTAATAAACTATTTCAAAACCAGGCTGGATTTTCTCCACTATTGAGAGCAAAAAAATGTCAGTAATGCCCAGCAGCTCAGTCTTTTGTGCTGAGCACAGTCTTTTGTTACAAGGCCCAACTCTTTTGTCCCAGTTGCGGGCTCCCCGGTCCTGCATATAAAGCCTATGTGCTTGAAAACGGGTCACCCGGCAGGAAGTGGTTAATTCATGCATAAAGCCACTAGCATCCGCTTTTACCTGTCCTCGGTGGTGGTAGATGTCAGCATTATCAGGATCGATCCTGACGGCAGTAGCAAAGTCATTCATGGCATCGCTGGAATTACCCTCCTGCATGTGCATGCTGCCACGCTTGATCAAAGCGTTGGCACGCAGCTACATCAAAGGAAAGAACGTTTGTGCAGAAGTTATAATACAGCGACAGCAATCAGGTGACTTCTTTTCTCAGAATAACTAAGCCAAATTAACTTTATTAATTCCCTTTTTTAAACCAAAAAACAGCAAAAAGTAGAAATACAACAAATGCAAAAGCCAGCGAGGAACTCGAACCTAGCTGTTAATACGGTTCAGAGTTTTTGAAGACTTCTATGATTAGGATCCAGCCTCAATCCTTCAATCTTCCAGCAATTTCTGTTAGAATCTTCAAGCAGATCAAATGATATGCTGGAGCAGTAGGGATGGCCTCCAGTAAAATCTAGGCCTAAATTGAAGCATGGCTGAGTATAAACAACAAATGGTCCTGTGACCTTGATACAATCCAATCTTTGACATTAGCCACGTTTGCCAGACAGCCCCAATCCTTTAGAATCTCCCACTAAATGTAAAGTGGATTTGGAGAATTTAGGAAGGCTAGGGTCAAGTAAAAGAATTTTTTGGGAGTTGTAAGCCCACAAAAGGAACAAATCACATTCAACAAACAACTTTCAGCGGCTAGGATTTCTGGTCTAGAGTTATACTTAAGCAAGAGTTTTGGCAGTTACCAATGTTGATGATGCTGGTCCGGTATAGTTATCATTTTTTCTGTTTTCTAAAATTCTTTAAAACTTCCTGCCTTCATTTACTGGACACTTACAAACACGTGAAGGACTGTGTGGTGTCCACTCTAGCCTGACAGACAAAATCTATTGACGCCTGAGTATTTCAGCCAGGCCTGCAGCCTTGTAAAAAGAGCCCAGATTGTGCAGTGTTACGTAACTTTCGTTTGTTCACGAACCTGTCTCAGTGCGCTGCTGACCTCTTTTCAATAAGGGCCAGATTAGCATGCAGCGGTGCTGTGTGGCTCATCGCTGCGGTGGTAGAGCGCTTTTGTCCCCGATGGCAATCCGCTCGCTCTAAATGCCCCAAACAGTGGTCTACTGTTTCAAAACAGGGCTGGATTATCTCCACTTTTGAGAGTGAAAAAATGTCGGTAATGCCCAACAGCCTGGTCTTTTGTTCCGAGTACGGTTTTTTGTTACAAAGTTTCCCTTTGTCCAAGTTCGGAGACCCGGGCCACGCGTATAAAGCACAGTGTCCAGATCCGGAATCCCTGGCAGGAAGGGGTTAACTTCCATACCTCCCAAAACAAATGGTAAATCACAGAATGAAATTCCAGGGTGTATTACCAAGTTCACATTGTCCTGATGGTTTATTTACTCATTTCTTTCTCTTTTGACTCACTGTTTCACTGCTCTCTGTCATTTCGATGAGTCGATCCAGATCAGGTTTGGCCTCAGCTGCTTGCCCCATCAGGAGGTAGAATGTCGCCCTCATGAGGAGAGCTTCAGCCAATCTGTCACCGCTACTATTTATTTCTTCATCACAGGCTTCGATCACCCCACCGTAGTCACCACTGGTGAAGAGTTGATGAGCCTTGCGGTAACCATTCATTCTGTGGATGATAGAAAAATAACGTCAAATTCAATCCTAAATTTACAGACTGACGAGAGTTTTCATTTCGTTTCAGTGCCTTCAGACTTTTCCTCAGTGATGTCAGATTGACATCAATTTTATGAAAATCAAACAAACAATTCTCACAAAATTTTCTTTGTTAGACGGGTCAGGCAAAATGTAGACTTCTCCCACTGACGTGCGGAATGCACTCAGACTGATATGTGAAGAGGCCATGAGCAAGAAATACTAAGTACAACAAAACCTTATGTTGGAACAAATTGAAACTTCATTGAGATATGAAAATTTTTGAAATATCTCTTTACATACATGCCAAATTAAAAAAAAGTTGGGTATGGGTCACTCAAGATTGTGGAAGACATGGATTCCAACTCAACTTCCTATGAAGAGAATTCATTCAATACTGTTTTTAGAGTAAAGGTGTGGATCTTTTCAAAGTCTGAGGACCTGTTTCAAAATTGAATGAGTTTTTTTCCAACTTTTGCTTCTATATGCTAAAAGCAAAAGCACCCACTCATCGGTTGGAAAGAGCCATGTTGGTAGGCAGTGTTCATCTTGTTGGTAGTGATGCGACTGCAATGTTGCATGTCATAGTCCTTCCTGAACCAGCAACGTGCAGTCACTACCAAAACAGCCTCCGTTGCTAGGAAAATATGCCCTCTTTTGATTAAGCTCGGAGCCCACTGAAGGTGTTACCTGTCAACCACCAAATTCAGCCTTGTTCAAATTACCTGGCTGCGGCTTTAAAGAACATGTGCACCTATGAGAGTCACTGGCTAGAGGCTACAGCTTTTTCCCATAGACTTGCGTGCTACTGCAAGCCACAGCCAAGTGATTTAAACCAAGCCAAAACAGCTGGACAAATGATCTTTGACCTTACCCAACATCCCCTGCTCCTTCATCATTATAGTCATCGTTGGCTTTGGAGATGCCATCATTGGAGAAAGAGGAAAAATACGAGCGGATGAACTGACCGGAGGGTAAGCTTGGCACACGCTCCTGTAATGGACAAACCAATTCCAAAGACAAATGTTTCAATTCATTGTCCAAAATGATATGAAAAAGCAAAAACTCCATGTCAAAAGCAAAATTTTTCCAGCGTGCAAACCATAACAGACCTCAATCCTCTGGAAGTTTTAGGATTGAAGACTTTTGGGGCTTAGCTGTTTGAGCTATTTTTCGAAAAAGTTGCTTTTTTATCACAGCCTAAAAATGTGTGGCAGTATCATAACCAACAGACATGTGTTTACAATTTTCAATTTTTTATTGATTTCATATGAATGACATAAATCCCAACAGATGGCTTCATGGCAAGCATTAATGAACAAAATACAATACTGAAAAGACTGTTATTTTGCAACTGACCACAAAGATGCATTGCTGATACTGAAGAAGCAACTTTTCACGTTAAATGTCACCTTGAAAACCTTACTATCTTGGCTTCCATTGTTCATTATAAAACCTGAGGCTGTATCTGACTTTAAGGTTGAGACTTGAAATTACACACAAGTCTATGAGCCATGCGTAATGTCAAGTCACAGCCAAGTAGTTAGGACATGGTCTAAGGCTACTAGCAGCCAGTCTGGTACCTTGTATCGTTGCTGTGCTTTCTCTTTGCCTAACTCTTTCAGCATCTTGTCAGCCAGCATCATGCTCTGTTGATGTGAGAAGTTCTCCAAGATACACACTGCAGTTGCATCTAAAAGCCAAGAAAATGCTGCCACGTCATCTCTCAACTTGAGAAAAGAACATCCAAATTATAACAGCAAAAATCAACATTTCTGATTGTTTTTAGTGAAATTGATGGCCAATATTAGGGAAGATGCGGGAGTTGACACCAAAAAAGAGTTGGTAAGCTGCATATTAAAGTGACCATGATGTGTGGTGTCTCAAGCCACCCTTGTTTTGAGACAAACTGACTGATTAATTTTGGAAAATGACCCATTTCACAGAAATACCAATGAAAGCTCTCAAAATGTAAAAGTTTCCACTAGAAATCACTTCTGGCTCCAATGGTTTCTCCAGTGTAAGTTCGATTCTCACAGAATCTTTAAGCACAAACCCCAGCTGGGCACATTTTTTGAGCCAAGCAAGAAATATTTGGTACCAGTGGCAACGATAAAAGGCTATTTTTGTTCAATTCTATTAGCCACATTTTTGTTTTTAACTTCTAATATATTCTTTGATATTTAAATTATAAAATAATAACGTTTGATACATGTTTTGGGCCTTTATGTATGGGCTATACATGCACATGTAACAGGTTATGCCCCACACTATTCGTACCCAAGACATCCCGACCTCTAGATATGGGTGTGACAGTGAAGTACATGTAAGCAGCTCTGGGAAAATGGAGCTGTGTTAAATATATGACACTAAAATGGTCTAATAGCCAAGCTATTGGTTTCATGCGGGGTTTGTTGAGGGTGCCAAGCAGGCAGCTCATGGCAGGCAAATTCCTTAATTACAGAAATCCATGTAAATATTTGTATGCCTGCAAGTCAGGACTGTGTGTGTGTGTTATTAGTGAGAATATTACAAAGAGCAACTTGTGCATGAACCATGGTGGTGTTAACGGGGTGGGGAAGGCATGGAAGGAGAAGGGACAGAGAAGCCATGGGGGAGTCTACTCACCTTCTAAACACTTCATTTTTTGGTTCATGTTCTCAAAAGATTTAGCTCGTCTGAATAGTGCTTTGACGTAGCGTGAGTTCAACTCCAAAGCCTTGGTGCAATCAGCCACAACCTGTGCATAATTTTTCTGTAAGAAAAAAGACAAGAAGTAATCATTGCAGTGCATTAAAAATAAATAGGTTCTCTGCTTGGAAACCTGACTCTGGAACAACACTCCTGAAGTAAACATTACCAGTTTCCAACAAATTCTTAAATTGACACTCAGAAAACAATTCTTTTGGGTATCATCTGGTAATGCAGGATGCCTCATTAGGTGAAAACATCAATTGTTTTATTAACCACTTCCAGCCGGGGGCTCCGGTACCGGAGGCATAGGCCTTATATTCTTGGCCGGGGTCTCAGAAATCGGAACTTTACTAAAAAAAAAAAAAAATGGCTGGGCGTTTCTTCAAAGGTTTGGTGCTGTCAGTTAAAAAGTTTAGGCCATCATTGGAGGTAAATAAATTGGTCCAAGGCAATGATGGGTTGCTGGGGCCAGAGAATTGGGACTTTATTTTATAGCCAGGGTGACCGAACTTGTAAGAGCCTGTAATAAAATTCCGAGCTGCTGAGAGCTGCCGGGCTCTGCCAATCAATCCCCGTATTCTTTCAGCGCAGAGCTCTGACATTAGCGGAGGTAATCCGTGTATTGTTTGTGCAGAGCGCATTTGTTCGCGCTGCCAGGCGCTCGTAGTGGATTATCACTGCACTGCACTGAAGACAAAGCGCAGGCTGTGCAGGCTCATTATGCACCTGTGCCCCATGAATGACCCGGCCCGGGCGCTGCTGGCCCTTGCCACGTTGACTGGGCTCGGCCCTTGCTGCTTGAGAATAAAATCGCCATGCAGTGGCTACATGTGTTTATATTGAGTATAGTGTTATCAGAGCACAGACAACATGGCTGAAGTTATATCTGGAGAGTCCAGTTCTTCCAGTGAAAGCGAGTTTTATCTGAGTTCAGACGAAGGTTCTTCGTCTTCTTTATCACCGCCGTCACCTGCTCAAGTACAGTCAAGTACAGAAATTGACAGTGATGTACCCTTGGCGGTATATGCCAAGTGCAAGAGACAGTCCCGCACACAGACCGCCACGTCGACCAGCAGCAGTGCCGCACCATTCCGGTGGACAGATGAAGACAGTACACTGCTGAAGTACGGCTTCACCGGTAATGGTGGTGCCGTCGATCCCCACCTGCATCGCAGCTCGACCTGCAGTGAAGCCTTTGAACTGTTTTTTGACGACGTTCTCTACAAGACAGTGCAAGAGACCAACCGGTATGCCGTGCAGAGGCCTGCTACGACATCGGCGCACATGCGATCATAGACTGATCTGAACACTAGAGAACTGAAGGCCTTTCTGGGCCTTTGCATAATGACGGGCATTGCGAAGCACCCCACCCTTCATAGCTTCTGGTCCACCCACCCACTACTGAAGATGAGCCTATTCCCGTCCGTCATGCCCTGAGATCGCTTCCTTGCCATCCTGCAGTCCCTGCACTTCAACGATAACACCACCATGCCAGATGACTGCACCGACCGCCTCTTCAAAGTGTGCCCAGTCGTCGACCATCTTGCTCAGAAGTTTGCCACAGTCTACGTTCCTCGACGGGACATTTCCGTCGACGACTTCCTGTTGAAGTTTTACGGGGCGAATCTGCTTTGCTACCTACAACCCCAGAAAGAGGGCCCGCTTCGGCATCAAGATGTAAAATTTGTGCCAGAGCACCGGGAGTGCCGCTGGGTACTCCTACAACTTCAAAATCTACACCGGCCAAAGTAAAGGAGACCTCCCAGCAACTACACAAGTGGTAATGGACCTGGTAAACGACTTAAGCGGCAAGGGCTACAACCTTGCCCTCGACTGGGCCTTCAGCAGTCCCGATTTGTTTCGACGACTTCACAACCAGAAGTTCAACATCGTCAGTACCGTCATGGCGAACAGAAAAGGGATGCTGAAACACCTGCAGTCCGTCAAGCTGAAGCGGGGCGAAACAGCTTTCCGGTCGGCCGACCTGGGAGCCAGCGGTTCTCTCCTGGCCATGGTGTGGCGAGACAAGCGCAACATCCGTATGCTCTCCACCATGCATACGGCAGACATCCGTGGCAACGGCAAGCAAGACAGGACAGGGCAAGAAAAGCAGAAACCGACCTGTGTCATCGAATACAACGCCCTGATGGGGGGCGTTGACAAGAGCGACCAACTAGCAGCAAATCATTGAGCAACTCGTAAGTCCCTCAAGTGGTACAAGAAGCTCTTCTTCTACCTGCTCGCCTTGACGCTGGTGAACAGCTACGCCGTGTACCTGGCCATTGGTCACCGCCTCTCCTTCCTCGACTACCGCTTGGGTCTTGTCCGTGAGCTGCTGTTCGACGAGCCCTTGCCCGAGTACCGCCCTCAGCACGATACTCCACCAGTCACCAACTCCCGCTTCGTCAGCCGACACTTCCCCGTAGATTTTGAGAGGACCAGCTATGGCGGCTTCCGCTACCGGCAGTGTGTCCTCTGCGCTTCCCGTGATCGGCGAAAGAAGACACACTTCGAGTGCGACACGTGCCACCAGCCCCTCTGCGTCGCCCCCTGCTTCAAGGAGTACCATACTGTCCACTAATTGACACTTTGAACATTTACTTTCATGGACATTTTCAGGACATTATATTTTGTGTTTTTCATGACTTGATGCCCCACCTATCTGGTGTAAAACAATATGTCATTTACTGGTGGTTTTAGGAGTTGTCATAGTTTCAAC